AATATATCTCTTATATAGTTCTAGAAAAAAATTTCAGCCATATCGGTCAAGTGTTTCTGTTGAAATGTTGTTTGAAGAAACAGTTGTTTTTCACTGTTACAAAAACAAACTGAAAGTTCTATCGCTTTATGATTTGCCATTCATCAGAACCTCGCAAAAGTCCCCTAGCTATAAAGCACGATCTTCAAATAATCTGAGATCAGTTTTGCATTACAGACATTGGTAGTTAACCTAAGTACAGTGGATTGATAGTAAGTTGGTCTATTTAGTGGCACCTTATTTGTAGGCAAAAATCATGCCAGACCGAAATTGTCGATTCTGGTTTTCTCCTGTCCAGTTTGCAAAAATCCTGTGGATGTCAGTTACATCCTGCAGGTTTTTATAACATGATGTCCTACCGAAAATATTCCTCCGCGTTGTTGGATATGTCTCGCCGGTTTTTTTACTTTGCTAATCCTGTAGAAATCTTTCCTATCTGTTATCCCTTGTAGAACGCTAGATATCTTACTACGCTGTCCCTACAAGGTCTGTAGGATTTTATCCTGAAGAAAAGAAGCAATAGCTCGCAAGAAAAGTTGTGGAAGTAAGATTAAAAAATGTATTGTTTATGATAAAAAGACCAATAAGATTGTTGGAAAGAAACTAAAGGAATGTTCCAAAATATATTCCGGTCGTTATTCCTCTATTCCACAGTTAGTACAAAATATTTCATTTCATACTAGTTTTGCTTCAATATTGCTGTATATTGCTGTACAGCTGATATATATTATATCAAGCTTCATTTTCTTTTTTAATTGTTTATACTTCTTCAAAGGCAATCAACCGTCGTGTTTCGAACGATTATTCATTTATGAAGCTAGCAACAACACATTTGAAGCAAAAAGAGAATATTTGTTTTATAGTTCGTTCTATTGCCATACTGTGTAGGCTTTCTTAGAACAAAATATTTTTCCTAATACAAGGAAAATACAATAGTATCATGCTTTTTATTATAAAAGTAAGGAATTATACGAAAAGTAACTTTCTAAAGAGATAGCCCTAATCACATTGGAATTTTAATATTACTAATATTCAGGAGAAAATTTTCGCTGTTATTAGTTTGATTTGGGACAGACTTCGTTTTTGTTAAAAGTAAACGTTTTCGCTTCCTCGTTGATAATGTATTGGACCGATGCATCCATATTATATATCTTATATAGTTTGGCCGAAAATATGTATGGTAATTGACATTTTAAACATTGTATTATTTGTGTTGATGCTATTTATAACATCAAAAGAACGCCTTCTGTTTTATCATAGTTTTAAGTACTGAACTTCTTTTCGTATAAATCTTTACTTCTATACATATATTTAAAATGCGGTGAAAGAACCTTTTCTCCTTCAGAAGAAAACTCCGCAGGACACCTGCGAGTTGTATGTGTTAAAGTATCCGGCGACGTTTTTTACCTTTACGCAGTTTGTTTCCCACACTAATTCTACGTCAACTATGCAGGATATCGCCGGGCCTGGCAAAATAAAAATCCTGTGTAAAGGTAAGAAACCGATAGTGGTATCCCTTCGTAGCTACTGAAAACGGTGTAATCTATTGTCTACTAACACCCACAAAATGTGCCTTAAATGACGTTTTTTAGTTAACACCGTTTTCTGACCATTTTTCGGCATTATTACTGGGAGTGTATTAATGCCTGAAAGTGGCATTTTTTTAACAGCCAAGAAATAAGCTGAAAATAAGTATTTAATAGTGACGATTTAATGGCCATTTTTGCGTAATTATTGGCTGTTTATGGTCAAGGATCCGACTGTTGATCATGACTAATTTCTTTCTGACCACTACCATGAAATAAATGACTTTTCAAATTTTTGAATATTTTCTGTTCCCTAGGTATAATCGGTACCATCACTGGCACCATACCTAGAACCAGTAGCTACTTCCTCAACACAAAGTTTCGATGACTTATATAGTTGAAGAAGAATAAAACTCTACGTTTTCTATGAGAAAACATCGTGTGAGGTCAGCGAAACAAAAGAGCGAATTAAACGTTAAATGTTCGTTTTTTGTCTGTTTTAATGGTTGGTTATAAAACGGACAACAAAATGCCATATAATGGTTAACTAAATCTGAGCGTTACTCACACAATTAATTGCTTGTTTTTAGGCCATCATTAAAGGTCAGATGAAGAACAATGAATGGTACCTGTTTACTGGCCATTTTTTCACGATTAAAAGCCTATTGAAACCCTATTATTAGCCATTTCGTTAACAGGCTATTTATGTCCTATTAAATGTCAGTTGGTTTTGACCTGGGAAGTCTTCATTTTCACTTAGGCTTGCCTTCACTCCACATACCGTGGTTCTAATTTAAACATTGACTCGTGGCTTCTTCGGAGTTCTCATAACTCAATATTATAAAACGATACCACTGAAATAAACTACCGAAGTCTTTGTTTAGTGCTGCCTCTGGCAGTTATGTCAATAACTAGCGACATCTTTTTCTCATCTTTGGTATGAAACAACAGCTTTTTCTTGTTCAAATTCTTGCTCTATTTCTAGTTTCTGGTATGCAGGTTATTAGTATTTTAATAAACTTTGGTAAAATCCAGTTACTAATAGAAAATCGCTGCGAGTTTTTAACGATATGGCGACAGAATTATTCGCAGGTAAAATAGAAATAGAGACAAAACATGATGAAAGGGACCTGTGTGTAAACTTCATCTATTGATATAATTATAAAAACTAATTCATTACAATAATGGCTCACTCGTTTACACCGCGAGCGATCGTTTTTCTCGTAATTGCACATCTTCAAATTATTTTCCTAGCCTAACGTTGATTAGTTTTGTATTTTGGGTGAATCAAAATTAATCAGTAAACTAACATGCAGAATAGAAGAAAATAATCTAAAAGTAAATAACGAGGAGTGCTCAAATGATATCATTGAACGAGAATGGAGCTAATTCGAATAAAAGGTTGTCGTTAACCAATATTCTGTTACATTTTGAGTTTTATGACAAATATTTCGTATATTTGCATAGAATAATAGGAATACTATAACATTCAACAAAGTCAGTGCTGTTGTTTTTTCACCACCATAGTTGTAGAATTTGGTTTAGTCTATGCGCGTTTTTTCTCAGAAAAACCAACCATGTTCACTTTCTTCTAGATAATTAGTACCGTTACAATCATCGCTAATGCCAATCGATTATATGTTACGATGAAAATATTCGTGAATTAAATGTATAGCAGAAGGAAATGAAACAAAATTTAATGATAATAATGGTACACACAATATCAGACCATTGAAACTTATTAATCCTGCTGACTTAACATTTTATACTAATGGACCATTCTTATTTAATCGATCACGTCATTTATTTGATAAAAGCGTTAACAAAAAATTCATAAAAAAGTTTACGAAGTTACAACACATTTTCTGGATGGCATTGCTTTAGAATAAGTCCTAGCGGTCTCGTCTATTCCAACTAGACTGTACTGTCCCCATTTTCAGGTTACTGTTAATTGTGAAGTATATTATAAAGATAAACAACAGCGGGCATTTCAAGGAGAGGGGCACATTCTGGACAATAGAAGATTTGAACAGTCTGTTGAGGAGACAAACGTTAGGACTGACTCATTTTACTATTTTTTTATTTCTAAAATTGCTTGAGGATTTTTTTAAAATCGTCTTCTAATAGGCAGGCTACCTCAAACCCGTTGCCGTTGAGTTTTTCTTAAAAACTGCAACTAATTTATATCGTCAGTGTGTTGAACCTGCCAATTAGGGGTGGCATGTTATTGTGACTCATGTATTACATTACCAATGAAAGTAGTACAGTATTCCTATTACCGGTAACAGTAATACTAAAAAGTGTTTTTTATATCTTCGCATTCGTCCAGTGGCCAGATGTTGTACGAAAGACCTGTGTTATATCTCAATGTTTGCGATGTGTCGGTTAGCATCGTATAGAATGAGAAAATCCAAGAAATGTATGGATAAACAAATGAGCAAAGTAGGAAAATAACTAAAAAAATTTTCATTTGCGTAAAAAATCATTCAAGAAGTCAGAAAGTCTTTTGGAAAAAATTTTCTAGTACTATCTTACTGAAAAGTAAGACTAATTTTATGAATATTTCTATTATTAGTAGCAGGAATCCTACACGAAACACGAAAATCCTATAATTTTGATTTATTATATCTTAATGGATACATGTTTTATTTAAATGATAATGGAACACTTACACAAGTAGTTTAGTTTCGAATGCGAGTTTAGAAATAAAACGATGATATTGGCAGAAAACTGGCTACCAACCATTCTGCATTTAAAATTATCTTTCAAGATATTTTATTATATATGTTCTTTATTTGTTCGCGAATCTGTCTTATTTTTCATATGTATTAGTTTTGGATTAAATAATAAACGGTTTTCGTTTATTTCTTATGTTTTATTAAATGATAATTTGAATATATCCTAAAGCAGTGAGTAAGATATCTCAATTATGGCTGAATCTAGATGATGAACTATGGAAACTTGCTGTTGAGTACCTAGCTTTATTCGAAAGTAAAAGAATGCGAAATTGTTGTAAGAACAAGTACAAAAACTGTAAAAGTATTTTTAGTCAATCAATCAAATTGTACATTCCCCATTGGAACTGTCCTTCTATATCGACTTGTCTGCAATTTTCATCTTCAAAGTTTGTCATAGCAGTTCCTTCATCTTCATTGATTTCACCACTCTATAAAGTTAAAATATCATATGTTCTTAGAAGAAAATGATGCTCGAATCTTCACTAATTAGATGAGTATTGTAATTTTCATATTCACGTCGCTAAGAGAAACTGCCTCAAAAATAATGTCTTTTTTCTATAAGAACAAAAAGCATAACTCAGCGTGTTTTCAAATTGTATTGTCATTTTCAAAATGGCAAATACTTCAAAATGTGAGTCTTAGCTAGCATTGGTTGTTTGTTTTTTAGCAGATTTACGTTATTACTGCTGTCAAATTCTCAAATCTTGAATAAAATTCTTACGTATTTTGCTTTTGTCGATTGATTATAATCTAAAACTTGTGTTTGAATAAATGTTTCAAATAGCTCTTGTTGTTGACTGTTTTGACAATAATCATCCTCTGTCACGTTTTCTTCATTGTCGAACCACAATGAATGTTCTGTCATACGGATGGTTTGCTTTTCTTGTTGCGATTGTTTTTGATCATCCGTATTTTTCTGTTGTTGATCTTCAGATTTTTTCGGTTGTTTTTGTTTTTTATGTTCACATGATGCTAATTGTCGTGGTAGAATACCGTGTGCACTAGTTGGATATTCATTATCAGTTGGAAATAGATTTTTTTTTCCTGGTTGAATCGGTTTACCAAGTAGTATTTGTTCGAATAACATTATTTAATATTAGTTAATACTACTTTGTTTATCTACCTTTTTATACATACGTTTGTATTTTGACCATGTATAGTATGAAAAGATAATAGTCACATATTTTTCTATTTTCTATTTTTGAAAAACAAAGAATAGTTTTAGACATGTGTATGTATTTCATCAATAATTATGAGCAATAACGCATTTTATTCGAATAAAATTCGATTTTATCTACCCGTTAGATGGTTTACTTTGATTTATTGGCAAAACGTTTCTTTTTCTATAATACGTTAGAGTATAGATAATTTAAGAAATGTTGTGAGTAATCAGCAAAGGTTTTTTGATTTCGTTCTTACTTGTGTAAATTTCTCTTGTCCTACGTTTTTTTCTTTTATTATAATATACAAAATACTATTTATCATGAATCATGAATATGTCTTTTTCATTAAAAAACATTGCTTCTCATTCATTATTCTACTGCAGTGACTTTGAAAGTTACTTGTAATTTAGAATAAAATCTTTACTCTCATCTTCTAGAATAAAATCTCCTTGAAATAGTTCTAGATGTATTTTTTATGTGTGCTCTTTCATCCGTTTAGACTAACTATCTTTCAAAATAATCCATGCATCATTTATGATATTTTCATCGTTATGGCTTTCGTTAGCGTTGAAAGACCTGAAATAAAAAACAAATTTATAGTACAATTGAAGTAGTTCTTTCTATTCGTTTAATTATTGCTCTCATAATTCCGAGGGGGAATATAGGTTTTTTCCATGGAAAAAAAATGTGTGGACAAAGTAATTTATTGCCCTCCAAGAATTAGAGTCTATTTTAAAACAGGAATTATTTTTTAAAAAAGGATTTTTTGTGTTTAATATTGACTCGTATTCACATGCAGTGAGTTCTATTATGTTTTTTTGCAAGTTTGCATTGGACTACTTCACTACTGGCATTTTTGTTATATATCACTTTTCTTGTGAACAATACCTACCTTTTATTGCACAAACATTTGACAAAATAATAAAAGCAGTCATATATATAATCTCTTATTGAAAAAATTTTCTGTTTGAATTTTTTTTTTGTTATTTGAAGGTAAAAATAAATTTGTTGCTATAAGAATTTATAGATAAAGTGTATTGTGCAACGAGAGTTATGATAGAGATAACCCTAGTTCCACCTATGGGCGATTCGTTTTTTTATGTGTACACATTTATTATTTGTTGAGTACAAGCATTATTACTATTTATTGCAATAAAGTACAATAACAACAACAACTTTTTTTTTTCTTTCTCCGTTGTTTACAAATAACTTTACCCAAAACATGTTTTTGAGTATGTTGATTTTTGTCGACGCACATGAAGCGTAGAACAGAAAGAAGAAGACAAAATAAACAGGAAAATGTTACGTTATATTTTGTCTCAAAAAAAGAAATCGACACTGCAAAAAGCAAGTGTTTGATAAAAGCAGTAGAATAGCATGAGGTAATTATAATCAATTCTTAGAGTTTTTAAGTGTTTTAAGATATTTCTTCATTTTGGATCGAAGAAAACCGATATCATACAGGTAGATAGAGCTGATTCTCACCTATAGACTGATTTTAAAAAATCTTGTCTATTCACCAAAATATTTGTGAAGAATAACAGAACAGAACGTGGGCACCAGGATATTCAGGAAACAAACTTTAAAACATCCAGATCCGATGCTGCATGCGAACATATAAAACAATTCTCTAATGAACTTTTACCGTCGCAATACACACTGATCACGATTATTCCACGTGACTTTTTCTACACAGTGAATGTTTTACTATTTAATAATAAATTTTAAATACAAATATTTTTTGATTTTGAAGTCATTTGGACAGTTTTTGTATTTTTTTCAAAAAATTACAAGTTACTAGTTGTATACTTTTTGGTGTCAATTGCAACAATATGTAGATAGTCGTTCTTATACTAAATGGACATCTACTTGATCATTTTCACTTTCTTTTATAATAGATTTCACTGTTACTTCTCCTGTTAACTAAATAACAACCTGTCTAGCAACATTTTTTTGTGTATTTATTTAGGAAGTCGATGTTTTTTTGTGTAAAAATTCGTTAATAGTATGAATGCAGCGAGAAAAATATAACGCTTGTTTTGTGTCGGTTTCATTTTTAACAGAAAATTTTGAATTTTAACAAAAATTAAATATGATCAGCGTGCCTGTTTTCCTTTGTTTATGATCTTATTAGAATTGTTAATGTTCTACACGGTTATGCACACTGTTCTATAAAATGAAAACGACACGAAATAAACACATATTTCTATCTGAGTCCATAGCATAATTTGAATTTTCTTGTCTTCTAATTGACTGATACGCGTTTCAAGAATTTAACGCTACACTCATCAATCTAAAACAACAAAACGCTTTTACAGCAATAGTTCAAATGGTGTAATTTCCCTAGAGTATAACTTGGTTTCTTCGTTAAATAGGCTAACTGGCATGGTCAAAAAAAAAAAATCTGAACTAACTTTTACTTTAAAATTTTCTTCATGCTTTAGAGAGTCCTATAGCTGAACACGTTTATGATAAAAACGTTGGCTAATATTAATGTCTTGATTGGCTAAAAAAATGAAAATTTCTAAGTGAACGTATAGATAATAACGGAAAACCCATGTCTTGTATTTATAATCGAACAAATATATAAGGGGAATATCTTAATCTTTAATAATCTAAGATAGTATCCAGCCATACGGACTTCATGTCATGATGAATCATGTAACTCTAAAAGATTCTCTAACACTAAAAATAACAAAAGAAATAGAATGACATATGTATCAAAATTTTTAATTTTTTTAAATAATAAAAATGTTCAATTTACGAATTTTCAGGGATGACGTGCTGTATAGCACTAAAAATAACATTTAAGACAAGGTCTGTTTCTAGTTCAAGAGAATGTACTCAGGAGAGCGAAAAAAGTGGAAAGAACCGCAGCCTTGAAAAATTCTTTATCTCTCTCACATTTTTTCCTTTCGTTCTCCTTATCGTTCAACTGCAACGCGATATATTTATCTATATATATATATATATATATAGTTGCGTGTTGTCTATAAAAATGTGTTCGATTATAATAATATAGGGAAGAGATGGAAAAAAAAGAAAAAAAAGAGTAAAAAGATCAACTCTCTTCGGTAGTACCCACTTCAGAGGATAGATAATTTGAAGTTGAAAACTCTCATTTTTCCTATGAAATTTATCCTTACTTTTCTTTCGGAAAAGTTTTTACATAATGAATAACAAGAATAGAGTCAAATTAATTTTGTATAATATTTCGTAACTTTGAATTTATTTCAATTAAAGAGTCATATCGAATTAAGCGTTTTTTTCTCAAATAATAAATTAAACAGTTTTGAACTTTGATAAGAGTCAGTCACTGTTTCATCTATCGTTATACCAATTATGTTCTATTTGAAAACGAAAAGTTATCTTGGATATTTACATTGGCATAACATCTTCTCTTTTTCTCTCTCTCATGCGTTTTGGTTTTTTTTCTTCTCCTTCATATGTCAACAAGCATAATTTACATACCTCTATTAATAATTATTATTGCAACCCACTTATAAAATGCCAATCGTTTGACTCATCGTTGAGAAAAACATTTATAGAGTTTTGGATATTTATTAAACGTTAAGATGCTATAATGTCATATTATATGAGATTATTAGTTGCGCCTGCATTTCTTACACTGTTTTTTTTTTTTGTTATTGTCTTTTATTATTGTTTCCTATTTTAGATTTTATTGAAGTTTGCTAACTAAAGAAAAGAAAAAACCGAAAATAAAGATCAAAACACTTACGCGTGGTCTTTATGTTATCACTGTCAACATATCATAATTTTCTATGAAGTCGAAGATGCATTATTTTTTATTGTTTAATTAAAAATAAAAAATGGCTGCTCAGCGAACATCACCACATCCACACTATTTTTCATTATTTCAAAGTTATTGTACGGGACAACAAAAACCATCAAATAAAGATGTTTTACCATTAAATGAAGACATTAAGCATGAAGCACAAGAATTATTAAAAGTTATAAATAGTGCAATAATTGAACAATTATCCGTATTAGCGCCTTACACAGCATCTGTTCCAAGAGAATTTATTCAAGATTGTGATACACCAAATAGCAATGTTTATCAACGTTATCTTATTGATCGAGCGATGTACAAATTATTAAATGATGATAAAATTATCAATTGGTCATCAAAAGTCAAAAAATTGTATCCGGTGAGAACATCCGGTAGGAATTACCGTTTTAATTTGAATTAAAATTTATTAATTTCATCATTAAACTTAACTCTGTCTTTACACTTTTAGGTAATGGAAATTGTTTATTGCATGCATGTTTAATTGCTATTGCTGGTGTTCATGATTTTGACCTTTATCTACGTGATCGTTTAAAACAGTTTATGGAAGCAAATGAAGAATTGCTAAAACAACGATGGCAAATTGAACGTTTGAGAAATGATCAAAAACTTGGAATTACAGCTGAAAATAATAAACTGGATATTGTAAGTTATATGACAAGACTCTGATTCGTTTCTAACGGCTAAAACTCGATAATTTTCAGTTTTCTTTAGAACAACTGAGAAAAAATTATCTCATTTTATTCTCTAGATAAATATATTTTAGGAATGGCAAGAATTATGCGATTTAGTTCAATATGAAAATACGGAAGATGGTCCTACAAAAGATTTACATTTTTTAGAAGCTGTACATATATTTTCTATTGCAAATATGTTACGTCGTCCAATAATTGTTTTATCCGAGGATGTTGTTCGTAATAAACATGGTGAAGCAATCTCAATTAATGATATCATGGGAATTTATTTACCAATGTTATCTGATCCAACTGACTGTATAAAATATCCAATTGTAATTTCTTATGATAGATCTCATTTTTGTCCTCTTGTTACATGTGATGATGAAACATCATCTAATGGAAATCATTCATTAAAATACTTATTACCATTATATAAATATGATGGAAATTCACAATATACACTTTTACCCCTACATTTTTTAGTTGATATTCAACAACCAGACAAGACTGAATTATTACGACAATATTTAGACATAGAAGATATTTCGGATAGACTTGAGCCATCATCACCGCCGGTAAATATACGGTGTTGTCGATTAGGTGAAAAACGTTTAAAGCAAAACCAGGATTTTATTGTTCTATACAGAAAATATCTGTTTGAATTCAAAAAAGAACAAAAGAGGTCTGTATTTCTTTGCTTCATTTATTTTTTAACCATCTATTATCGATGACATACTATTTTAGGATTGCCGAAGAAGAAGAACGACAACGTCAACGTGAGAGAGAAAATGACAATCAGTATCGAAATAGTGCGTACAATGAATCTACGTCGACTTCTGGATCACCTTACAAGGCTGATATGTCAACATCCAACAGTTCAAAACATCCAACAGTAGTGTCTCGTGATCAACTACCAGAACAGCAATCAATAACTAATGCAAGTAAACGACCACTCATTTATCCGACTCACACTCCAGTAAATTCTGATAATCAACAAAATATTAGTTCACCATTGGTTCTACGTCAGTCTAGCTATAATAATGCAATAGAATATAATCCATTACTTTTGAATTCCAATAATGGATACTCTGATTCTGTAGAGGATAAGTTATCACAGCATAATAATGATCAAGAAGCGCGATCATCTCCATTACGTATCAGAGAAAATAATCAGCGTTCAAACGAAGTGTCAGTGCGACCAACCGATTCAACAATAGCAGAAACAAAAACAAAAAGGGGTACGTAATTCTTGATTTAGTATTTATTATAATTATAAGTTGTTACAGGAAAGGTTAAGGTTTGCAACAAAATGAATCTCTAGATTAATAATTCTTTAACGATTTATAATGAGTGCGTTTGAAATAGATTGGCCTAAGATGTCTTAATTGTTCTGATAGAATTTTCTTTTCAGTGTTGATAGTATTTAACAAATTAAATATAGTGACGCATTTTCTCTGCAGTTTTCATTTTTTTGGTATCTTTTTTATGAGGAAATCATATCATATAGCTGTAAAATCGTTAAATGAAGAATTTATCATAATTTGATTCAGACAACAGAACATTTTTTCTATTTTGCTGCTTTCATTGATAAATTAAGTTTACGTTCATCTTTGAGTTTTTAGATATTTCAATTCGGTACATAGTACACATTCTTTTATTTGTTTAAAAGTTACGGTATTTTCTTATAGTTCAAGTCTTTTTGTTTATTGAGAAAATTTTGTGTGATGAGAGAAAAGTTACTGTAACATCTACTATACCATGGTGTTTCTTCTAGTTGCCTTTCAATGCGTTCGTCGAAACGATAATTGATTATATACAATGTAAGATTTCGATGTACGTTGTGTGAATTATAAAATATGTATATTACTATTTAAACGCGCAACACAAAAAAGATCTTATCTTAGCATTGAAACATGTCACTTCTCTCGTTTATTATGATTATGCTCTTCTGGCAACTATATGAAATATTTTCGATTTTTATCTTAAAAAAATGGTGTTTTATTTTTCAGCTGTTCCACTACTATTTTACTTTTACTTTTCAATGCTAATTTGTTGATGTGTGTGTGACTGTATATTCATCATACCTGCAATAGTGTTGTGATATACAAACATTTCTTCTATTCTCAATAGATTTTTTCCTTGAATCATAGCTGACTCAGAATAATTTTTGATGTTGATGATAAATCTGGTACTTCTGTTGATAAGCCTTTCTTGGATGGATCTCTGAAATCGGGATCTCCAGTGAGTTCCAATAGCAAATCTTCAAGGGAATCCATTTTGATACAGCCAGATTGTAGAGAATATCGAGTTGCTAGCGTAGTATCAACAAGTTCTTACATCGAACGAAGAATTTTTTGCTGAGATATAAAAATATGATGCATCAGTAGTAAAAAAACAGGTTTATAGTTTTTACTGCTTTATGTAGTTAATTTGATAATTTCTCTTACACTACGATACGACTGAGCTATTTGCTGACGATAAGTTAAACAGTGGGAATAGAATGCTTTTGTTCGAATAAATCGTGTATTATAAGCATATTTAAATCGAAAGATTAAAGGATTGTTTTATTCGTTAATCTTGTCGATATATCAAATTGTAAGCTGATTACTACGCATGTTTTCTATTTTTTTCGTTTGATCTTAGGACAGAACAGCAAAATACGTAATTTATGGTGATTTCAAAATTGTAAGCTGTGTTTATATAATATATAAGGACGATCCTAAATCATATTTGATTTTTTTTATGCTTTTCCACTTCTTCGAATTATGTACATTCTCAAATAATTTTTTCGAACCTTATGATACTTTTTCGTCGAATGAGCTGATAAGCTGTTATATTTAGTTTTGAAGAATAAAATATCCGTTCAGTTAAAAAATGATCAACAAACATTGTGACAAGATGATATTTAAAAAATAGTATTTTCAATCTGTTTGTTTATCAAACTGAGTAATGATCGAAAAAATTAATATTATCTGATAAATACCATAATGACTTGCACCAGTTATAACCGATAAAATTCTACCTTTTTCTGAAACGCATTGCGTGAGAAGTACGTACATTAAAATTTTTGTAACAACTGAGTTTTGTAGAACAAACATTTTTTTACAAGATGAGCTACGGCGGGAATCTTTGTGTTGTCTATTTCTACCGCAATAGTTTTTCGATGACGAGCCCTAAATCGATTTTAAGCGACAATAAGACTTTTAAGAAATCTTTTTTTTATAAGTATTGGATCCAAGACGAAGAATACTTCCATAAGTGATATTGTAGAGAAATGTTTGCTCTACAAAATCCAGTTGTAAGAAAAATTTTAGAGAATCAGTTTTCGTTGTGAAAAACTTTTTTACGAAAAAGTGCACCATTTCAATTGGTTATAACCGATGCAAGCCTAATAATGAACGAATAGTTTTATCTTAGAAGATATTTAAAAGTGTCAATCTTATCGCTCTTTTTATTTTTATGTGTTCTACAGATTCTAATATCATATGAGTGTTATTATTTTCTGCTTCAATAATGATTGTGAATTATCCAGAGTTCATGATAATATCTGCTTCTGTTTTCAAGATAATGATCGATAAATTAGTTGAGTGATTTTTCTATAGTCGATTCCTATCGAATACATTCGTTTATGGGCTATCTCTTTCAATCCTATTACATCTTAATTTCTATTGTTACTATTTTAGATAATGTTACCCACATCCAAATTCCAGTTCAGATTATGTCATCAAATCATCGTGATAATTCAGCCAGCTCTACATCTGTCTACTCTATATGCTCTAGATGCAATCAACATTATAGGACTATTGCGCGATCGAGTAACTACTGTCCAAAGTGCGAGATTAAGATCTACAACATGCCACCTGCTAATTATCCTTATGTAGAACCAGTTCGAAACTCTCAATCTGCATTTATATCCGATTATCCCACATCGTCGCGAACTCCAACGACTCGTTCTACATCCAATAAGGTCTACAGTCTACCGGCTGATTTTATGCAGAATAGACAAAACAAAATAATATGTCCTAAGTGTCGTAATTACAATGTAATTTCCAACGACAGGATAGGTGAAGATATATATTGCTCAGTATGCAGAACTTATATCGGACGAATAAGTTGATAGGCATTGTTTCTCTTCTTTCTGTTCATTTCATCTTGAACAGTTTATTATTACTTTTCTTTTTTAATTTTTGCTTTCATATACATCTGCATTGCATTGAATGTCCAAGCTAGCTTAGAACTAGACATGTTCGCCTGTATGTGTGCTATGTAGATCGAACTGCAAAAATAATATTTTACATTTATTTTTCTATTTTTTTGTTTGAAACAAAAAGCTGTTTTGTTTGTTTCTTTTTCTTTTTTAATTTTGTAATCATTCATCTCTAATATTGAACGAAAAATGGAACATCTCATGTCCCCTCATCGCTTGACAAAGTTATTCTTGTAACGATGACAGTCTTGACGTCATACTAGAAGCGTCGTAGTTATTCATTTACATGATCGGTGGACATTAAAACTCGAACCATATGGTTTATAAAATCTCCTAAAAAAACAAAAATATTTTGTTTTTCAAGTGAAATTGTATACTTTCTTAAAGAACAGTTAGTCTTAAGTATTTGTATATGAATTATTTACATGATTTTAGTTAGAAAAAAATTGTCAAAAAACGCATGTTCTAAATGGATAAATCCTTTGTTTTTTTGTTGTGCTCTTATTTTGATGTTCGTTTTTTTCCTACCGAAAAGAGATAATACTTTTTTATTATTGTTATAATTGATTGCGTTTTTGGCTGCTATTGTTTTGTTGTTGTTTTTTTAACCCATCGATCTGATTCTCACTAAAAGTAAAATAAAAAATAAAACAATGCTAATATAGAAATACTTGTCATTTGAACTTGGTTCAATCGGCTTCAGAAATAATAGAAACAACTGTCCATCTATTTTGTGATTCTAAGCGATGTCAGCTAAAATTTAAGCGAATAGTGGTATAGTAGCGATACATTATAACGATAGGACACCAAATGCAATAAACTAACAGTTTAGAATTTTTTTCGAGAAAATTAATCAGGTTAATAGAACAGAATCATCAATAAATTTTGTTATAAAAAGCATTCGAGGAATATGAACTGAAACAGTCGTTGACAATGTTGATTATTCAATTGTACTTCTTTCCATAAATTTTAAACCTCAGTTAGAAACAAAATCCATCGACACGGTTGAATTGTTAATCCTTCTAATAATTCTCATCAATATCAAGCTTTTTTTTAGATCAAATAAATTTGTTAAATGATGTTAGATGAGAATGAATCTGAAGTGAGACTTTTGAATAAAATAAAAGGGAGTATTTTTGGCTGCTGTATAGGTGATGCTCTCGGAACAACGTGTGAATTTTGTACAGCTGAATACGTAAAAACTCATCCTGTTAATGATATGATTGGTGGTGGAAAATTTAAATTAGAACCTGGTGAATGGACAGATGATTCATCAATGATGCTCATTATAGGTGAATCGTTAGTGTTAAAAAATTAATTAGATTTAAAAGATCAACAAGAACGATTTTTAACATGGTATAGAAATGGTCATATGTCATCGAATGGTGTTTGTTTCGATATTGGTAAGCAAACACTAAAAAATTTATTAGAAAATGAAAAATTAGCATTTGATAAAAGTTTAAATATTATTGATGAAAAGTCCGAGGCAGCTGGCAATGGAAGTTTAATGAGACTTTGTTGTGTACCGTTGTATTATCATAAAAATGTTTTAGATGCAATTGATATGAGTGCACAATCATCATTAACAACTCATCGATCAAAAATAGCTGTAGATTGTGTGAGATTTTATGCAATGTTAATATTAGGAGCTTTGAATGGTGTATCAAAATCAGAACTACTTTCATCTAATTGGTATATTAATGAAGATGTAAAACTTTATTTTAATGATAACCCATTGTGTGTTCCGGTATTGAATTTAAAACAACATGAAACATTTAAACATAAAAATCCACCCGATATTCAAGCAACAGGTTATTCTGTTCAATGTTTAGAAGCTGCTCTATGGGCATTTTATCATACAGAAAATTTTAATGATGGTTTATTAAATGCTGTCAATTTGGGCGATGATGCGGATACTGTCGGAGCGATTTATGGACAATTAGCTGGCGCCTATTATGGATTTGACAATATACCCGTCAAATATTCAGAACTAATAGCATTATCGACATTTATTGATGCCTTGTGTCGAGAAATATTTAATCAATCAACTAAATCGAGAACAACCAGTGATGAGTTTTTACAAATTCATACTATACTTGTACAATTAGAACAAGCATATGAACAAATTTACAGACGCGTACAACCTTGTCCAAGTGAATTTAAATCGGTAGATGGATTTGATCAAGCTTATGCAGATTTTCGAAAAAAGTTTGAACAGACAAATTTGTTTTCTCATTTTGATAAACGTCTACAAAATGATCGAAAAAAAGTTGTTCAGAAAACTGAACAAAAGAAAAATATGAGTGCATTATTTGCTAAAATTAAAAAATGATTTTCTAATCTGAATGTAATACTGTATAGTATAAAAACTTTGCTTTCTTATAAATGAGATGACTCTCAACTCTGAAGAATGCTAGGTGAAAGAGCTACAACCACGTCATTTTAACAATTAATCCTTTAAAAAGCTTTACGAAAGCTGTTCCTTCGTTGTAGTTTCAGCGTATTTTTATTTACAAAAGAAACCAACTTGATTGTTTCCACAACAGCGGTTCATTTATTATTATTTTAATTTTCTTTAGTACAAAATTCAAATGTTGACTTCTGCTGAAGCTAGTTGAAATTTGCAGATGATTCTCATGTTGAATTATTTTGTTAACATACTGATATTTATGATGATCTCAACTCCAAAAATGCTTGTAACGTCGTGATCGTTAGAGTGTAGTTCCCATAACCAGAAGAAGAGTACATGGTAGAGACTTGCAGTCCATGGATCTTGCCGGTTCGTGTTTAACATTTTACATGATGAACTCGTTCATTTTACGTCAAAGATTAATAATAAATTATGATCATATCTGTGTCTTTACCTTTAAACATATGCACGAAATTAACTCACTCTAAATGTTTTATTCTAATTATACAGTTTTATAATTATATTTAACTAGCAAAAACCTGTAACTGGTGTATATCTACCACCATCCTAATGTTGTCCTTGGAGCACTTATACATTCTAAGTTCTTATAAAAAGATTGACATCATTCTTGGGGTACTGTACTCCGTTACTTGACAGAAACTGCGAAAAAAAGTTCTCTGCATCATCACATGCACAAAAAAGAAAGAAAAGGTATTTTTCCTTTTTAACGTTTTCTTCGTTGACAAGTAACACAATAAAACGAATGAAGTAGAAAAAATTCGAAAAAAAATGTGAATGATGGAAGAATGTAAAACAAATAAGTTTAGTAGAGCAGACATAGACGCGTTATCAAGATTATTAAGCTTATAGATGAATGACGCTCTAGTTTGAGATAACCAATGCTTCATTATACTTTGCCTGAATCAAACATCTACGAGCCTCTGTAGAGTGTTGAAAACAATTGATCTCGATAAGTTTATCTCTTTTTAATTTTCAGATAATAATACTAAAAAATCGAAAAGAAATTTGAAGATGAGTAATTCATCTCGAACAACAATTTGTGCAAACTGCAATAGCCGTCAAGTTACCGTCGACTGTCATGGCTGTGCAAAACCTTTTTGTGATCAATGTATGGCAATTCATCGTGACGGATTGTCCCATCAATTAGACAATATTGTTAATGTGAGAAATGAACTACAACAATCTTTATCCTCGTCAAATGGAAACGAAATTGCGTTCTTCGCTAAAGTTGACGAATGGCAACGTAACGTGATAAATAAAGTTCTGGATATTGCAGAAAATGCAAAACAAAATATACGTGAAATACTAGTGAGTAAAACGACGAGTTATAATCAAAAATTGAATCAAATATCGAACGAAGTGAAACAACGACGTCAAAATAATGATTTTACAGAAAACGATTTACATAAGCTGAGAGAACAACTCGGAGAGTTGAATGATAACATAAAAGACATTTCAAAATCGATTGAAATCGATACATCACAATCAAATGATATTAGATGGGACTCATTAATATTCATTGTTCAAAAGGAAAATGTAAAACATCAGTTCACAACGATAAATCGTCAGTCATCCTATCGAAATCAAAATGCGACGTCAGTGATGTCGGTTCTTACGTCAGCTCCACCACTGAACGTGTCAGCAGACCAATCATCACGAAGTAAGCGAAAGACGAGATATTTTTTCTCTTATCAGTCAAAATCAATCAATATCTTCTCCAATATCTCTAATGAAACTTCAGATGATTGCGAGTATTTTATTATGACTTTGACTTGAGTGTAGTGTGCACTTTGTTCATATCATCAAGACCTATGTGTGTAGTGTAATTATTCTCAAATGATTCACGTTTCTCTTCAGATGGTATCCAACCTTCTAATAGTATTAACGATATTCACCGACACTTAAATTCAACGACATCACAACGAGTTTCAACAATGCGTCCAAATAATTTTCATCAAGATCATTATAGCTCTTCCATTAGCAATAGACATATAAATAACCCACTTAAATACACATGTATTGGATGTAAAACAGAAAATATTTATAATGAACGTCAAAATTCGTGTCGAGTTTGTAAATGTGCACCAGCATTCACCTAAAGTTTGATATGAAACATCGTGTATATTTTTAACTATCTTTCATTTAAGAACACAAATATAAATTTTATTGTGCAACTATGTGTAGATATTATATAAACTTTTTTTTATCTATCAGTAAATTTATTGTGCCATATTTTATTCATGACATTTTATTTATTTTCTTCGGTATATTAATGTGTCTTTTTGTCTTTATAAAACATTGTTTTGAATAGTTAATCATTTCATTGCTGTTAGATTTCTTATTTGTTGTTAAATCATATTCTGCACGTCCGAGATTACACTCCAATACGTTTGATAAGTAGATTTATATTTATTCATTTCGTACTAAATTTTTTTTTTTGTGACGATGATATCTCATGTATTCTACAAAAGACAAAAAAAATTCGTTCTTCACTGTTTGAAAAACTGTGAAGAACAGAATCTTAGTTCACTATTTGGAACAAATGAAGAATAAAATTCCCATTGATTTTTCAATGCATTGAAAAACTAAAGAACATCTTTCTTTTTAGTTGATGATGACTCTAGTTCAAGTTCAAAGCTTCTACATTGTTAAATAAAAGAATAAGTTTAATTGCGTTCTTCGTATAAATATGATTCACGTTCAGCAACGTTTTCTTAACAAACGATATTAATATAATATGCGTTTTTATCATAATACACAATTAATGATAAATCCACGAGCAATAATACGTTTTGTTGAAAAAGGTATGAATAAGATTAGGGTATCAATATTTTTGATCATCAAAATTTTCAGACAACAAAAAGAATATAAAGTCGTCTTTGTAATTAACTTTATTTATTTGTTTCCAAACATTTCGATTGACTAGCGCAGTGTTCCTGATAAGGAGAGGCAGGGAGGAGATTCTCCCCCCCCCTAAAAAGAAAAATTCCAGACTTTCTGCCATAATTTTTGATAATACTTTCTGCGAAATTTTTATAGTTCAGTTCAGTAGATAATTCCTGCAGTTGCTGGAAAAAAATCAAAACAGGTGTAATTTCTCTCTTCTCCCAGAATTCTACTGCTTTTTTTTTTAGAGTTGAGTTATTGCTGTCAGATTTCTTGCAGTGTACTATCAGCCAAATTTCTCACAAAATCGATGTACTTTCTGCAGAAAACCAACGTTCTGCGAAAAATTATATACTCTCTGCCAAATTTTTAGCCCCCTCCACTCCCAAAAACAATCGGAAACTCTGGACTAGCTCAATCTTCATCAGTGAATAAAAACGATTAATTTAATTTAATTATAATACACAAATTGAACAAAATTTTCATTTTTTTAATATACATAGGAACTCCTGACATACATACAGTAGATGACAAAAACTGTACCATGACAGCAACTTCAACCGTTGACTTTTCAGAATTTTTCCCGATTGTTGTTGATGAAATTCTACCTCATTTTAGTTTAAACATTAGTTGTCTCTACAATTCAGTCTAAAGAGAGTATGGGGAACGTTTTCTAAAGGAGTCGGCCCGCTTTCAAATTTTTTTTTCTATCTAGAATATATAACAGATCTATAAGGAACCGTTTCCTGTTTGAATCCACCTTATGAATGAAGAATTGCCTAAAATATAGTCATTTTAATTTTAAGACAATGTGACGGTACACAGATTCGTATTCCGATCGTTTTCTTTATTCAGGAACAACTTCTGATAACGGTTCACATGTAGAATGATAAATATTGAAGAGACCTACCGATTGGTATATCACATTATGAAAAATGACCACAATGTTGTTATTTTATATGACTTATATTGATCACTATATATGATGATAATAACACACGCCAACAGTATGATTTAACGGTTTCATGAAGACAAAGCTGTCATCCACTTTGTGTCATATACCATTAGGTGCGTCTCGAAGGAACCTACAAAATAGTATGCAGTTGAAGAAAAAAAGGTTTTGTTTGGCATACTTTCTGTTCTACAGAAGCGAAAAAAACGGAACTCTGCCCGTAATTCACCATTTTCTCCATCATAACTCATGTTTTACGCAATAAAAATATCATATTCGGAATCAGCGGCAAAAACTGAGTCGAATGATATACTTTGTTTTATCCTGTCCGATTGCTTTAGGTTTTTTTGACTTTTGATGTCGGAAAATAACAGAGATTTATTTCACCGAAAAATGAAAATCAACAAAAGATTTGGAAATATTTATCATTCGACTCAGTTTTTGACGCTGATTTCGAATATGATATTTTTATTGCGTAAAACGTGAGTCATGATGAGGAAAATGGCGAATTGCGGGCAGAATTGCGTTTTCTTTCGCTCCTGTAGAACAGAAAGTATGGTAAGTAAAACTTTTTTTGTCTTCATTGCATATTTTGTAGGTTCCTTCGATTTTTTCAAAGGAACCTTGATATTTAGCCTTGAAAGAACAATAACTTGGAAGAAAACCTTTTTATATACTAAAACAAAACAGAATTATGATCTGGAATTGAATACATTGTATGGTAATAACAACAAGTTGCACAGCGTGATATATTTGGGCTCTTGACTAATTTCCGAATACCTAGCAAGATGTACAATACGCAATTTTTGAAACTAGCAAACTTGTGAGATTTGTTTATAACAAATATTTAACAGTATCGTAGAACTATAATTTAATCTGACACTTTTCAGATATTATGTTTAATTCTTTGAAAAGATTCAGATTCTTTTCGCTTACAGTAAAACTACATTCAACATTTAATCGATTCTGAAATCTGAAAAAGACTAACCTTTCTTCACACTGTACGATTTTTGAACATGTATATGTTGCGGTCAAACTTGAAATTTGGTTAAAATTGAAATTTGATCGAATTTCAAGTTTGACCACAATACAGAGATAAATACTATACAGCACGTGTTATCTTTCACTGCATAAATTCTGTTCTTTTTTTCTTCTTCTTTCTTGTTGTTATAAAAACTATTTTGTGTACAATAATCTACAATCTAAAAGAAATACTATTTTTTATTGATATGTCAGAAACTAGATAGAAAAATAATCTAATCGTACAATTTCTAATGTTTGAAATGCTCGCACATTATTTTACATAATATTCTAAAAGTTAACGGTAGATTAATCAATTACAGATTCACATTTTCGATAAAAAATGGGTTCCAATAGGAGTTTAATGATCTATGCTCTCACTTTTTTTTTAAAGACATTTAATTTGATTTGTAAGCAAGATAACATTAACTTGTCAGAAAACACTATGGAGACATTTTTGCAATGCATATTTTCCTTGTAAAAAAATTGTAAACGATATAGACGACAGAACGGCATGTATGTTGGAATAAACGTATTAATTTCCATCATCGCCTAAACAGAGATCATTATCAAGGCTATACTATATGAGGGAGAGAAACGTGTCAAATAAATCTTTTCTCCTATTTTTCACTTCTCCTTTCTATTTGTACTGTGTTTACTAGTTTGATTTTTAGGAGTAAAATTTAACTTTTTTCTTTAAAACTATGAACGATTATAAAATTGTTTTGATGGGTAGTGCTGACGTTGGGAAAACGTGTTTAGCTAACAGTTTTGTTCAAAACATTTTTATTGATAAATACGATCCAACAATTGAAGATTGTTACGTAAAAGTAAGTAATTTATCAACCATAAAACAAAAATTATAAGTCGCTTGTTGTTACACCTATTTCAGAAAATTGAAATAGACGGCGAACAATGTCAATTAGAAATTTTGGATACAGCCGGAACGGTGAGAAATAGAGAGTAAGTATATGCCCGTCTATCCCATATAAAATATAATTCGTCTCCTCTAGGATTTATCGGCCATGCGAGATATCTATATAAATAATAGAGAAGGTTTTATACTCGTTTATTGTATTACAAGTCAAGCAACGTATAATGATGTTATGGAATTGAAAGATAGAATTTATCATATAAAGAAAACAATAAATGTAACTGTGACAATTTAGTTTAGTCTCCTTTTTTTTGAAAAATACGACATATAAATATTTTTTCATTGATATAGGTACCAATGGTGATAGTAGGAACAAAATCTGATCTCGACGATGAAAGAGTAGTAGGAAAAGAAAGTGGTCAACAATTAGCAAAGAAGTATCAATGTACATTTTTAGAAGCATCATCAAAAATGAATATTAATGTTAATGAAGTAAGAGATTATTTGTAAATGTACATGGAAAAAAATAAAGTTTCTCGTTGTTTTTTGTAGATATTTTTTGATCTCGTACGACAAATGAATAGGCAACGATTTCCTCTTGGACAACAGTTGCCAGCATTTACTCGAGATGATGCTTGTAAAATGAAGAAAACATCCACTTGTAATATTACATAAATATTCATTTTTTCCGTTTTTCATAGTATATTCCCATTATTGCAATTAGAACATTAACATTTGTTTTTCTGTATTTTTTATTTGTTCAGATAGATCCCAGGGATTTTTTTTAATATAAATGACTAGAACCTTTGGATAACATGCTCATTATCATAGTCATTGAAACGTTGACGATTATCAGATTGGTTAAAAATAATAAGATTCTAGGACCTTTCATTGAAATGGACGGCTCCGTCTTTACCTTGAATGCTACTGTATTTTATTGTAGATTCTTGAAGCCTCTAAAAGAATCTCACTGACAAATGCTGTTAATTTCTGCAGACAACGTTTCATTTGTTCAGTTAATGATTTGGTTACTAGATAATATGTCTGATTATTGATACTTCTCCAACTTCGTCTAAAAAGAACATCTTTACTCATGGACGACTGTGAAAAATTTCTTCTAAATGATAATAGATTTCATGAGAAATGGTAAATCACTATTTACACTATCTTCGTGACTATCTAATATTAATCACGAAAGCAACAGATGTAAGGACGGTCACTTGATATAAAAGTTAATAAAAAGTTGAAAAAAATTCCATCAGCGATGATATCAAAATCAAAAAAGTGCAATAAATGGAAACGACAAAAAATAGTCACAGTTTTTATTATGTATTCGCTTCGTTACACGTTTATCTATAAAAACAGGCAAAGTAAAGCGGCATAATCGATCTAATATTGGGTAATAACATCCAACATTTGATTCCCCTACTTCATACGATAAAATTTTTTTTATCTAAACTGTCTATATCTGATATTGAGAATCACCTATATGCTTCTGCTTCATTTATGAGGTTTTTAAAACGTTACAACGCGTACGAATAAGACAACCAAGAACACAAAACTTTTTTTTAACGTTTCCATGCCATTGCACTGTCCAGCACGTTCTTGAGCATTTCTGTTGATCTAGCTGCTAAATGAAAAATAATCGTCATTCAATTACCTACTCGATCAATACCAAAGCCTCATCTTATGCTCAACTGTCATTGACATATTACATTACAACAGGCTTACGAACGTATCCCGACAAACATTCACAAATAGATTTAAATGATAAAAATGTACGTCCACCAAACGTGGTTCATTCCACACTATTTCGAACAAATACGAAAAAACCATCGAATATTAGTTTACCTGTCAGATATTCGACAAGTATAAATGTTTCACATGATCCTGAACGTCGTATTATTTCATCAACGATCACAAGAACACCTCTTCTTAATACATTTGCTTTACCTTGTTTAGAACAACAACATACGACTATGGCATCGTCAAGAACTTCTCACAAACACATAAACGTTAATATGCAATCAGAACAACGACCGAGAGATTCACGAAGAAATTTGCATCATTATCCTGATCATCCTGATCATGTAACAGTACCATCTCATTTCGATCAATATATTATTCCTGTAAGAAGAAAAAATGTTCGTCCATTACGGCATGCTGCTCGTCGGGTTTCTTCTACACTCTAAAAAAAAAGGTATTTCAAAAAACCCTAAAAAGTATTCTCCATTTGAGAAAAACCAAAAAAAAGGTATAACCACCCGTGAAAAGGGTTTAACCATTTGAAACATATCAAAACTGTTGAAAAGTTTCTCCTTCTTATCAAAAAACTAATTTTTCGTTTTCTAAAATACGGCTAAATTATATTCTGAAAAACGGTTGAGGTTTTTTCATGTCACAAAAAAACCTTTCAGGTATTTTAAAATACCAAATCAATTCAGGGTTTTTTAAATCACGACTTTTTCATATTCTAAAAATGCCAAAAGGTTTTTCTGATAAAAGTAAAAAACGTTTAAACAGTTATGATATGTTTCAAATGGTTATACCATTTTTCGTATTTTATAATACCTTTATTTTTTAGAGAGTACCATAGCCAATCATCTATCATCTAATTCTAATCGCTTGGAGAATCAACCTCCATGCACTCAATCCGCCACTGAACATCGTACTAATACTCCATTAAAAATATCACGAACTCTACAGAACTCGAGCGAATGTCAACGTATTCCTCTATCTTCTCGCTCTTCAATACCGATCAAAAAACAAGAATCTTTCGTTAAAGATCATTTACCTGTACCACTGGATGAAAAAAAACCACAGCCACTTTCGTATTCTGCATTAGTTCTAAATTGGTTTCAACAAACATACACAATGACGAAAAAAACACACAGCAAAAGCATATCAGGCAATCAATCGGACTATTCAGAAACTTATTGTAAATATCCAAGTAGAACAAAACGTTGTCGACTATTTCATCTTCTCACCTCACCATCTGATACAAATGTAAAACTATATAGACATACAAAACAACGTCATCTACGATCTTTAGCACGATTCATCTCATTTGGACGTAAAAATATTTACGTGGAGGGAAGTATGGATGAAAGCTGTTAATTTAGACTGAGATAATTCTGATTTTCTATGATTAAAAGTTTATACTTCACTTGCCTTTCCACTTTTCTAACACGAAAAAATAATTGATGGATACCGACCGCATAAAAAAAGACAGAGCAAATTTTAATAGTCGTTTTAATACTCAGCAATGCACTTGTTTAACAGCAAGTAATGATTTCAAAAATGCATTCTGTAATAAAGCGAAACTACTCTCTAGCATAATTAATTTAGTTAAAATTAAAGTTTTCTGAAGTATTATTTTATCAGCTGTCACTATTTAATACATTGTTTATTCATAAATGGATCTTAATCCAATTAAAAAAGCATCAGCAAATCACGTGGAAATAAAGCCAGAAACAGAAAAGCAATTATTGCAGGACCATTGCGAAAAAAAAATTAAAAATATCTCAGCATAAAAAATTATCATTCTGTGAAAATAAAAGCTAAACTACAACCATATTAAAAAAATAATTTGACAAACTTATTCAAAAACATCAATAATTTTGGAAAGAAAAAAGAGCAATATTTGGAGAGAGCACAACTTGCTTAAAATTGAAAAATCAACAGGTCGGCAAGTGTATAATACATCCATCATCATTTCACTGTTAATAACATCATCAATAAACTAAAACAAATGAAATTTAGTAGATATAGATAAAATAACCAGCACACTGACTTATTAACGTTTTCTTGTCCAATCCGACTGGTATTTTCTTGAAATATAGTATTCATATGATGCACGATTACATATTGGTAACCATTCTGCCGCTTGTTCTTCAACAGCCTGAATGTCAGAATATTCTGTTGTAATAAAACACCGCATACAAAAAAGGACATGATACATACTTGAAGGTAAATGTAAGCGTCGGTACCATAACCATCGATAGAATGAATTTCAAGATCACCATTGAAATATCTAGCACTTCAAACGAAGACATTGAGACAATAGATAACTTTTAGATGGGAAAAAAGTACTATCTCTACGTAACACTTTTTAGTACTAATGCTGCTTTTTTCGTCTTGGTTTCAAATTAAAACTTAATAACTCACTATAAACGCGATATTGGTAAACCGTAACCAAAACCAGCCAGAGGTACAGGACCGGAATGTTGTGAATCAGTGAGTGAAACTGGTCGAGGTGCTGTCGAATACATGTAACGAAATATTTTGTCAGCTTTGGATCGTGGAATGCCGCCACCCAGATCACTAAGAATAATAAAAAAAAATTGTCTACCGATGCTCAATATATATATATATCGGTAGTACCTCATTCGTATTGTCAGATCTTCCGTCGCTTTTACAATATGAACATTAATCGATGGTAAGGAATCGTTTGATTTTGATTTTTCTGCTAATTCAACAGTCGCTCGCATGGCATTCTAAAACAGTGTTGATATACATAATTGGTGATTTGTTTCAGTCACACGCTAATGAATATACCGTACTTTAAATAATTCAAACATAATGTGATATAAATGAGAGGGAACATACGGAATTTGTATTGGTTCATCCATTTGTGATGCTAAAAAGAAAGTATAGTTCATCATATCTAAATTCTTTTTTGTTCCACATTAAGTGGCACATACCTACCATTAACCAACTTCAAATTAATTTCTGGTGCTCTTAAATAATAACTATCACACAAAAATTTTGCATTTTCAAATGCGTCTGAAACAAAAATGAAAATGTTCTTACAGAGATTAAAAAAATAAATAAACTTTTAGTATTTTCTAGTACTTTTCTAATATATAAATTAATATAAAACGTACAATGCAATCTACAGTAAGTAGCTTGTAGGAATGCTAGTACATGGTTAGTGGGTGTATATGAGGAGCTCAAGCAATTGAATAAAAAGAACTCTGTGTCATGCTAGCCTTTTGGCCATAGTTGCAGTAAATGACTAGTAGCGATATGAATAAACACGTCAGAAGTTTGTCAACTGTAGGGAAAATGTCAGACTATTGAAAGTGACACTTACCTGCACCCTACACCGATAACGTTAGCCGCAAGGGTATTCGTCCTTCAATTTAACACCATCAGTTAAAATAAACTAGGTATGAATCAAGTCTTTTATGATGTTAAGAGTAACTACGTACATTTTTATTTTTAAGTATAAGGTTAACGTTATTTCTGTTGGAAATAATTTCGATCTAAGTCGAAAACTAAAAAATCAGAATACCATCTATTGACAATCTAAAAAATATGAATATTCGAAATCTCAACTTATTCAGTTGTTATTGTCGATCCCAACCAGTCGTTGATCCATGGCTGGTTAAAACATGTGCTTAGACCCACTTGTCCTACATACAGCAAGCAGGGCCGTAGCCAGGGGGTAGGCAAACAGAGCACGTGCCCACCCCTTGAGATTTTAATTCAATGTATAATATATACTAAATTTATAGGTGATAAATGCCGTGTGGAGATAAAACGCAAGAAAAAGTGCTCGACCTAGCTTTAACATGGAAATTCAGACTAGTAACGATGGAGCTTTTTTGTAGATGCTCACCCCTTACCAAATTTCTGGCTACGGCCCTGACAGCAAGGTGCGCAGACATCTTAGTTTTATGTAGTTTTTTTTTGTAATATTGAGAGTATATGAATAATACTCCATATTCAATCACACATTCATATCAAGAGACGATAAACATAAAATTAGTATTAATAGTTACCCATAACAATTAAAGAAACATCACAATCTGGATCAATAAAACCTACATGTGTTGGATGCAATGGTACTTCATTACCAAAACACATAGCTAGAAAAAGATAAATATAAACTTTAGTCTTACATGATTTTTCTCTCATAAACCAGACTTACTATGTTGATAAATGAGTAATCGTATACTAATTCGAGATAAATAAAATCGATTAAGAAAATATTGTATTTGTGATTCTTCGTATTCTTTTACAGGACCACCGTCAAAAAATTCCATATATCCTTGTGCTAATGTTTCAACAACTGATGAATGACGTTTTCGAATATTTTCTAGTGCTTTTGTAAATCTAAACAAGAATAAATCATCTTTCTTTTTTTTAAATATTTATTTCACACAAACATTTACTTTTGAACAGTATCATCCGATGGAGATAAATCTTTGAATTGATGCATATCCATTAGACTCGTATCGTACCTAAATAACAAGAAAAAAGAAGTCATATAGAGATAAAAACTCTAACTTAACATACCATCTTTTAACAATTTGCACACTTGGTGTTTGTAGCATACGTGGTGGAAGATGCATCATCTCTTTCATCATTGATGCCAAACGAACAGGTAATTCGTTTCGAAGAAATCGATAAGATTGTTTAGCATCTCCTTCACGTGCTATAGTGAAAAAAAAAATCTAACATATTCTTACTAAAATATCAACATATAAAACACGTACCAAATTCAATAATACGTTTTAAAGTAAGAGATGAAGGCGCATATTGAACATAATAATCTACTAGGTTGGTCAACAATGATTGTTGTTGAAAAAAAAAACGTGTTAAACGCATCTCGGTTGAGTTTAAGGCATTGTAAATACTGAAAAAGAGAAGTACAACAGATTATTGATAACGGACCAAAACTGTCGAAAAAGTTTCTGGAGTTCTCGTCTTTCATCGGAGTAACTTATCTTGTCTTATATTCAATTATTTTTTGATATAAAAATACACGAACAATAGATGAAGATACTAACCAAACTATTCACTGTTCAAAACTTAACGCCCGCTATAAAAAAATAAATCAATAATTGGACATATTTTGATTGTGCGATTTATACTAATTCTTCTTTAACTATTAATCAAAATAAAACTAATTTCATTATTTTTTAAAAGAAATCTATGATCTAGAATGAAATAAAATAAAAAAAACTCAAGATATTCATCATAAATCATGAGACATATTTCAAGTGTATATTTCAGTTACAATGTTTTTCTTTAAACTTTTTATTACGTATACCCTGCAAAAAAATATTTTATCGGCACTGGTTGTGCACGGATGCGCACCGGTGCCGAATAATTTTTTTATCTGTGCACCGATACGCATCGGTGCCAGAAAGAATGTAAAAATTTCGCATGGATACACACCATG